GAAGGACAGGTAGTCAAGAGATTCAGTCCCATGGATGACCCACTTGTAAGTTGTGCATATTGTTGTGGTTGGTTGTGCAAGTCAGCCAGATGTTTAGACTGGACATTTGGCTTTTTAAGCCAGCAGGGCGAGTCTGTCCCAAGGACCTGGGACATCGTCCAGTTGCAGAAGTGAATCCGCTCAGCCTGAGGATCTATCTGGCCACAATGCTGAGTTAGGTGCTTCGCACACCATGCTAAATCCAGCCAGGGTGGGTGGGAAACCATGGCTTATAGCGGCCTTTCGATAGAGAGAATCCGACCAATTGTAGTTCCAATCCAGATAGAGGCCACTCAGTTGGAAAAGGAAAAAAAAAAGAAAGGATGGTCTGAAACACCGTGAAAATCAAGCTAATGGTGCTTCGTTTGCATTCGTGGGAATGCAAAGCTGTTTTTGGGCCAGTGGCTGCTGACATTTTAGGGAATTTTATTTTAGGGAATTTATACTGCTGCCTATTCGCACATGGCGACTCAAGGCAGCTTACAGGAGTGTAAAAACCTCATAAGGGGGTGACATGAGGGCAGTGATGACAAACCTTTTGGGCTTGGCATGTCAAAAAAATCAGAAAATGCCTGACTGAACTCCGCTGGCATCTGACTGCCTCTCCTTCGACAAAAGGGGAAAATTCTCTCTCCCCACCTCCACCCCCTCTAAATTACCCTGAACAGGGGCACTCGGTGGCAGTGCCAAGGGCCTGCAGGACAATCCGAGGCCCCAGTGTAGCTGCTGCCACTCAAAGAGGCCACCTTGCATTGTTTGCCAAAGTGAACGCGCCTTGTGGAATGAGTTGCCACCCATGGTTCACTGCTCCCCAGGGCCTGCCACGCGCTGCTTACCTTCACGGGGCGTTCTCTTTCTCTCGACGGCCTACCGGGTTGCACGAAGCCTTCATTCTAGAAGCCGCTTCAGAGAACGTCCATCTGCGGCCTCTGAAAACTGCAAAAGCAAACACCGTCCTTGCACAATTTTTGTAGCCTCTCAAGAGGCCGTACAAGAGCGCAGCCGTCTTGTGTGGTCTCCACAGCTCCAAAAAACCCAGTCAATGGCCCGTGCTTTGGAGAATAAGTGTTTGGTGCTGGTGGGTCACCTGAAACGTTGCAGCGTGTCATCTTTGAGACAGTCTCAGTGTTGTTGTTTTTCCAAAAGGCAACCGGCCTGTGTTTTTACCCTGAGGAAGAAGATGTTTTGCTTCTCATTTTCATCAAGAACTGATGAAGCTTCTTGGATGAGAAGCGAAACCTTTTCTTCTCCCTCAAGGGAAAAAAAAAAAAACATAGGCCGGTTGCCTTTTGAAAAAGCACCTTTGCAACAATCCTGACCTGGATGACTGAAAAATCTCCTTAGACTAGGGGTGTTAAACTCAAGGCCCGAGGGCTGGAGCTGGCCTGCAGGGTGCTTAGATCTGGCCTGGGGGCCCACTCTGGAAACAGCAAAGGACCAGCTTGTGGTACCTCTACTTGCAGAAACGGGGCTTGGGGAGGAGGCTACATGTGGCCCTCCTGAGGTCCCTTTTCGCTGGCTGAGGGTTGCAGGAGGCTGTCGTGCCTGAAAACGGAGCCCAGGTGGGCCGTGCGCAGCTTCCCCAAATTCCATTTTTGCTGGCAGAGGGGGGTTGCAGGGAACTGTCGCGGCCAAAAATGGAGTCTCAAGGGACATCGAGCTGGCCACGCACCCCCTGAGGTCAAACCACCTTGATGCGGCCCTCAGTGACATTGAGTTTGACGCCCCTGCCTTAGACATTGGGAACATAGGTTTGCCATCACTGTATTGGGGTGTAATCCTGGCCAGATGCAGCCATCTCACAAACCCTCATTGTTTTCTTGTTTCATCCTCTGCAGACGATGGAAAAGGAGCTGCTCCGATACCTGTAAAAGCCCCGCCTGCCTCTTGCCAGCCCTGGCTCTGCTCCGCCAGCGTTTCTCTGGTTTGCCTGTGAATTTTGCCTGGGTGAAGGTCTGCCTTCAAGCCAAGCCTATCTTGGTGAGGCAGGTCTGAGAGATTTGGCACAAGTTCACACGGGAGGCTAGCTGGAACGTCTGTATTTGCACCCCAGGCCGCAACTTCCATCTTGTACAAAATAAAGATGTTTTTTTTTCTTTCAGCCGATCAAGTGTCTTGAGATTTGTGTGTCAGAGCGCTATTGGGCATGGGCTGAGGGAGGTGAGGGGGGCGGCCATTTTAGAAGTGCAAAGCTATCCGAGATCTGCAGGTGAGGCAGTTAGACTTGTGCCATCCGGATGGGAAGTAGAAGTTAATTTCATTTGTTAGCCTTGGGCGGGTTGGGGCAACTTCAGGCTCTTCAAAAGTTATTTTTTATTTTCTTCATTTGTATCCCACCTTTATTTCTACCAGGTGGCAAACATTTCCTTCTATTTTTTCCACAACCTTGTGAAGTGGGTTGGGATGAGAGATTCAGTGGCCCAATGTCACCCTGTCAACTTGTATGCCTAAGGCAGGACTAACTTTTCTCCTGGTGATTGGCCCAAAATCTACCACTAAAGTGAGATTAAGTCTCAACGTCTTCCAATTTCTAGCCTGGTGCCTTAAATACTAGACCAAACTGGCTATTTCTTATTGAAACTTTTACTTTTAGCACCACTGGGAGTTGGAATCTGGCGGCAGTCAGAGTGTCCCAGTTCCGCTCCAGCTAATTTGTGTTGCCTTGGGGGGGCGCCCGATTTCTCTTTGGGCAAAGAGGCATTATGCAACCTGCCAGTGCAAGAGCAAATAAGAAATACAATGCCAAGACCGGATGAGAACTTAATTCAGATCCATCTGCTGCCATTTGACTAGTGAGGGTTCAAGAGGAGGAATGCTTTAAAACAGGGACCACCAAACTCATAATTTTAAATCCCGGGGACCACTAATATGAATTTTGACTGATGGTGGCTTGCTGACGTTGGTGGGAGAGAGAGAGAGAGAGATCTGATCTAATCTCCCTCCCTCTCTCTCTCTCACACACACAAACACACAGGCAGGGGTGGGATTCAAATTTCTTAACAATCGGTTGTGAGCGTGGCCTAATTTGTGGGTGTGGCTTGGTGGTCATGTGACTGGCTGGGCATGGCTTGTATGTAAATATTATAAATATTGAAATTTTTTTATAAAAAAAAACTTTTACCCAAAATCAGGCAAAGCATGCAGGCAGATTGAGTTGCTCACAGATTCATTCAGATATGTGAGATCAGCTACCTGAGCCCATCACATAAAATTTGCTTGCAAGCAAAGCCATAAAATTTGCTAGCAAGCAAACTCTCAAAATTAACTCGCAACACGTGTATGTAAATATTGAATTTTTTATATAAAAAACAACTTTTACCCCAAATCAGGCAAAGCAGGCAGGCAGATTGAGTTGCTCACAGAATCACAGATACATTCAGAGATCTATGTTTCTGCTATCAGCTAACTGCACTGAATAATAGAAGCTTCATCCTAAGGAAGGTCCGGCTCTGCAAGCCGAAGATCTAAAGATTAGCTAGAAAGCAAAAAATCCAACCGTTTCCTGCTTTCTAGCTAATCTAAATCTCCAGGCACAGCAGAACAGCTGATGGAAAAAGGAAAAATAGCAATTTTAGCAGTGGGCCATGTGGGTGACGCAGCCTTGTGTATTAATTGATTTGAGAGGTGCTCTGGGGGTGACATTTCTCTGCGGACCACCAAATTTTTCTCGCGGACCACCAACCACTGCTTTAAAGTAAACAATGAATTGAATTTTAAGAATGCCTTTTAGAACATAAAATTGTAGGGCCAGAAGGGACCCTGGAGGTCTTCTAATCCAACTCCCTGGCCAAAGCAGGGGACCTTATGCCAGGGGTGTCAAACTCGTTGCCTGCGCGCCAGTTACGTCACATACTGGCCACTACTCCCGTTTTAGCGAAGGGACAATAAGTCATGTGACAACACAAGTTTGACCCCCCCTGCCTTATACCAACCCAGTCAAGTCATTGTTCAGTGTATTTTTGAAAACCTCCCGAGATGGAGCAAGTCCAGAATGCAAGTATTTCCATTAATTAATGGTTTTTCATTGTCAATGGTTTTTCATTTCTCCTTAATCCTAGGTTGGATCTCTCTTTAAGAGCTTCCACTTCCTTCCTTCAATCTTTACCTTTGTTACCTTTGTCTTTATTCTTTTTTTCTTGCCTTCCTTCTCTTCCTCAACTTTTCCTCCCTCCCTCTTCCAATCCCTTTTTCTCTTCCCTCCCTTCTCCCTCTTATCCTTCCTTCCTCCCCTTCTTCCCACGCACAAATCTTCCACTTCTTCCTTCATTCAACGGAAATGCCAATATTTTAATCCTTCTGATGCAAGTATAAAATCTTGAAATCATTAGTCAAAAGGCACATTGTTCAACAGCGAAAAAGGAAAGAATCCTCCCCCACTTTTTTTTTTTACATATATACATTTTTTTTTTCAATTCATTATAAATACGCATAGGAAAAAAAACAAAACCAGGAGTCATTGAAATCAGTTAAAAAGTGCCACGGGGAAGGAAGAAAAAGAGGGTTTTTTTTCCCATTTACAAAATACAATCAATAGAACAAACAACATAATAATTTAATCAAAAAGTAGCTATGACATCATCGTTTTTCTTCCTGACAAAAATGGAGCCAGGCCATTTGGGGAAGTGTGTTGGATGGATGTCCTCTAGGGGGGCCTCCTCGGCTTTATTAACCACCTTTCCGAGAAAGCAAGAAGAAAAATTGCGTGTTTTTCTTCTTCACTGAATGTGAAAGAGCCACCTAGCATTCTGAAGGTCACGAAGAAAGCATTATTTTGAGGTGGAATAGCAAAGAGGACAGGAGGCACTCAAACATCTCGAAATCTTTCCTGAGTCGTAAGGCTTTTTAAAAAGTTATTTTGCTGATCGTGGGCCAGCACATCTCCAGTCAAACTAACTGGGTTTATTATGGCTATTACATTTTAAAAACTACTGGAGGGGAGGTTGTTTAGTTCAGGGGTTTCGAATCAGGCTGGACCCTCTGCTCTCAGCGATTTTGCATAGTTTTCTGATTTTTTTGCACCCATCACCCTGCTCTTTCCAATCGTTATTTTCAAGGGAAAAAATAAACCATAAGGACCAAAAAGCTAAGCAGATAAAAGAGCTAAAACAGTGTTTAGCAAGTTTAAGACTTGTGGACTTCAACTCCCAGAATTCCCCAGCCAGCGATGCTTTAAATACTGATTTAAACACTTGTGGGTTGGGGCAAGATGAGAAGGGGGTTGGACTAGAAGACCTCCAAGGTCCCTTTCCAACTCTGTTATTCTATTAAAAACATACTTAATTTTGGTTCTTGGCTATTTAGAATTTGTATCCTTCACACAGTTGTACCAGCAATGTGGAAGGGATACGGTGTGTGTGTGTGTGTGTGTGTGTGTGTAAACTGCACAAAAGTGTCCAGCTTCATGGGAAGAAATTCAGAGAGAGTTTACTCTGGTACTCATTTGAGAATTTTCCATGCTAGATAGTTTAAAAGGTTCAACTAGTTTTCAAGAAGGTACAAAAGAGCTGAATGGCAAGAATTATCCCCCAAAAATGAAGTTTTCGTTCCTATGCAAGGAATCCATTTTTTTAAAGATAGAGTTGAAATTTATCTGGACGTAACTGGCTTGGCCAAGGCCCAGCTGAATGCCTGCTGAAATGCATGTTAGAGCCCTCTCAGCCACTAATACAGGTAGTCCTACTCTTGCGACCGTTTGCTAAGCAACCATTCCAACTTAGAATGGAACTATTTGGGGGCTACTTATGACCCAGATCTGAAGATCCGACAGTCGCCTCCCCTGCAGTCACATGACCGGATTTCTTTTGTATTTGAAGCCATTTGCAGCCTCGCAATCATGTGACCGCTTTATATGATCATTTTGCTGGGGTGGGGGAAAAAAAATCAACATTTCTTTCCAGTTTTCAGCAAAGCTAAGCCCCTAATGATCATTGGTTAATGACTGCTATGCTCGCTTAACGACCACGGTGGCCACTTTAGGACCGTTGCGTTCGCTTAATGACCCCTGGCAAAAAGAAAAAAAGTTTATAAAATCAGGCTCTTTGCATGACCATTTTAGGACTGGCACAATTTACAATCCATGATGGGCAAGCTCCATTGTGGTCATTAAGTTGAAGACTACCTGTAGTGAAATGTATGGTTAGTTTGGCCCCAACGGAAAACCAGGTTCCTTTTGGGGGCAGATTTATGCCAATTTTTGGAGACAGCGAGGAAAATCTGGAACCCTTTGTAATTGCGCAAAGAGGAGTTTGGTACAATATCCAATAATCTAGGAAATTCGTACAAAGTTTCATGCCAAGGATGGAAGAGAATTTGGTCTGGTAGCAACAGCAGCAGCAAGTCAAAAAAAAAAAAGGAAAATATTTGCAGCAGAAGAGACAAAGGGAGTCCTTAAGATTTTAGGGCAGCCTACCAGCTATGTTGAGAAGCGTCTCCCATTCCCACTGGGTGTGCCTTTTTGTTGTTGTGGTGGTGGTAGTTAGTCCCTGTACACCTGGGGAAGGGAAGGGCACCAGGGTGGGGGAAGGACGTCCCAGAGAACATGGGAAAAGGAGAGGAGAAAGACCCCCGTGTGCCTTCAGTTCCAGATTTGGTTTATAAATATCTCTCTCTCTCTCTTCTCTCTCTCTCTCTCTCTCACACACACACACACACACATTAAATCCAACTGGCTATGAGAATCAGAAACTTTCACCCTGCAGAGCAGTGAAGGAGTTAAGTTAGTCCAAGGCTCTCAAAACTTAGCCACTTTAAGACACGTGGACTTCAACTCCCAGAATTCCCCAGCCAGCCATGCTGGCTGGG